TAAGATGCAGAAAAAACTAATATGATATCATTGTATCAAGGTAATGTGTGTGCTTTGTGAAATTGATACACCCTGCCAAGACGTAAATTACTTAAGCTTTGATAAATGTGTTGAAATCAGGGAATGTTCAAACAGATAAAGCACAGCAATTCCTCTTTTTCTTCCTTGTTGAAACTGAATGTTGTGCTTGCATTTAAATGTGTTTTCTTCACATTATTATTGTAATATGATGGGACAAAGACAGCAGTGATGCTGATGTTAGCACAGAGAGTCTCAGCAGGTACAGAAGTAAGCAGTGGGATGCAGGCATGTGTTTTGTAGAAAACAGATAACAGCTTTGGACAGGGTGTTTGCCAACAGGTTAGAAACACCCATACCCTCCTACAGAAAGTTGTATCATAGAAATTGTCCAAGAATGAGGGCACTGTGGATGCTCTTCATGCATGTGGTGTACTTTCAGCTCCCTTTGCTGACTTACTTGGTAGGTTGGAATCGAAAATCAAAAATCCACAAACACATTTGTTGGCCATGAGTGCTCACCAGTGCCTGCCATCTGGATGTGCCTCGTATGTCAGTGAGCCTGGAAACAGGAGGAAACTTGGTGGATGCTCCAGGGTCAAGAAGGTTGATTCCTCCTCGGTCATTAATGTAGCCTATGACACGGAACGCATTTTTTTGATTGACCATAATCAGTTGCCTATGGCCTGAGAATCCATAAAGCCTTTGGAAGACAATTCTTAAATAGGAGACATGGGACTATCCATTGGACCATGCAAGAGCCATCAGTCATCGAATGCCTTTGCCAGAGATTGAGCTCAGTCACTTCCATCTGTTCTTTTGGTTATTCCTTACCACCAACCAGCAAAGGACATATAGTGGAAAAACTGAGGTCCATATCAAACACGTAAGCGAGGGGTAATGAGTCAGCAGGTGCCAGGTCCTGTGCTTTTGCTACCATGCCGCTTCCATGCTGGGAGTGTGTGGCTGTGTGGGGCACAAGATTGTGGCTTATTCAAACCCAGCCATCCCTGGTGAGGTCTTCGGAGGTAAAGCATGAGCCTTGTGGTCTTGGTCATATGACCATAGGAGAGGGTGATGCACAAATTTTCAAAAGATATTCCAACGGGGAAGGCTGAACAAGTTACATGTAAGGGAGAGAAAGTTGGGAGAGGAGCTGCAACTGTCATCTTTTTAGGATAACTAGAAACATATTTACCCTTTTAATAATACATCATTATCTGATAGCTTTTTGAGATTTGGATCAGGATATGTAAATCTGTATTTGTGAGAAATGTCCATATACTTTAAAGTAATTAAAGAGACTAAGTGATATACAGCTTTTTCTCAACTTGTTTAATGTTGTTGTCAAAGCAAGTGAGAGATTTAATAACCTAGGGCAAGGAAAAAGGTTAAAATAGTGTGACAGGTGTGGCTCAGTGGTTGAGTGTCATCCCAGGAACCAAGAAATCACTGGTTTAATTCTCAGGTTCCGGGCTCAATCCCCAGTGGGGGTGCATGCAGGAGGCTGCCAATCGATAATGTTTCTCTCTTATCAATGTTTCTTTCTCTCTATCCCTTTCCCTTGGTCTCTAAAAGCACATTTAAAAATTGAAATATATATGCATATATAATTCATCTAAGGAACTGTCAGTGAATATGTTCACTAGGACAGAGAACAGTTATAGATCTGTGTTAATAGCTAAATTTTGTTATTTTTTTGTAAAGGCCAACCTTAAAATCAAGGGCTTTTTTTTTTTTAACAGGTTTGAACCTGAAAAGTATCTGTTACAATTTATTTTTTAGAAATCAAATTCTGTTTTAAATTCTCATATGGAAAATCTTTAATGAAGAATTAAGGAGCTCTTCCAAAAGAAAATAATCACATCTAATTGAGCTATTTGATGATTTTTTTTTTTTTTACACTCATTTCTTACGGTGAGTAACATATGTTTGGGTCAAGTTGTTACAGAGTAAGTTACCACAAACAAAATCTTCAAAAAAAATTTAAAAGCCTCAGTAAATGGCCATGTTTCATTTTATCATCATTAAATAATCTCAGAACCACCACATAATTCCTAGAGATAAGAGAAGGATGTCCCAGTGTCTGTCTCTGTGTCCAAAGTGTGCCAAGGCCAGTTAACTTAAGACTCTTCATGATTGTGAACATGTCCTTGAATGATGGTTTCAATTTTTATAGGTTTTTTTTTTAATAACAGGAAAGTAAGGAGAAAATCGGGCAATGTGCTAAGTCAGGGTCAACAAACTATGGCTCGCAAGCCACATGCAGCTCTTTGGCCCCTTGAGTGTGGCTCTTCCACAAAATACCATGGCCTGGGTAAGGCTATTTTGAAGAAGTGGCATTAGAAGAAGTTTAAGTTTAAAATATTTGGCTCTCAAAAGAAATTTCCATAGTTGTTCTGTTGATATTTGGCTCTGTTGACTAATGAGTTTGTCGACCACTGTGCTAAGTCCAGAACAAATGATCCAGGCAGGAAAATGTATAATGTAAAATACATTTTAAGAACAGGAACAAGGGGTGGGGGATGGGGATGACCCCAGCATTTTGCTGCTGGCAGCAAACTTTGTCATACTTGGGAATGAAAAAATATTTAATCAGCAGAATGTGTGCAAAGGTAAGAATTTAGTGTGTGTGTGTTTTTTTAAGACAAACTAAAAGGGGGAAATGTCAAAAAAGGTTTACCCTATGAAAGACAGAAAGTGAGGCAAGTATGAAGGAATAGAGTAGGACGTTGGAATCATGGAAAAGTTATGTATCAATGGCTCTCAGCAAGTGGCAGGTGTGTCTGGCACCATTGACCAAGCAGCGCAGAGCACATGGAATACTGGAAATGGTGGAAAATAGATGACAGACTGAGTAACAGGAATGATCATACAGAAGAGAAACTGGACCTTGGTCATCATGGGGTTCCTTATCCGCCTGTGTGTCCTTAGGTCTCACTGGAGAGAGGCCTGGACACAGCACTTGCACCAGGCTGCATCCATTCTCAAGAAACTCAAGTCATACCTGGGGCCAGTACTCCTCCACAGGCTACTACCAATTGATTTGAAAGGAGTTTGTGGCCGAAACCGGTTTGGCTCAGTGGATAGAGCATCACGGACTGAAAGGTCCCAGGTTCAATTCCGGTCAAGGGCATGTACCTTGGTTGCGGGCACGTCCCCAGTAGGGGGTGTGCAAGAGGCAGTTGATCGATATTTCTCTCTCATCGATGCTTCTAACTCTATCCCTCTCTCTTCCTTTCTGTGCAAAATCAATAAAATATATTTTTTTAAAAAGAAAGGGGTTTGTACACATCATAACTAAGAGTATTCAAAATCAGAAAGCCAGTTACAGGATCAGAAATGCTCAGAATATTTGAGCCAAATCCCTCCTTCTTTTCCTAACGAATATGCTAGCCTTTCAGCACCAGCAGAGAGAGGAAAGTATCAACTCAGGATGTGTAAGCCCCTAACGAGGAAGTATGGATTTAGGTTCTCAAAATAGTAAGAAAGTACGTCATATCAATTTGCCCTTCTGTCAATAAGTTAAGGAAAAAGAATCTTAAAAAATACTAGACTTGAGGAAGCAAAGTCTTCAGGAAATTAATCAAAGAGGCCAAAACATATTGTGAGCTTTTCCTCCAAAAGCAAAAATAAGAAAGCCTCCACATATATTTAAGCCCTTGGATTCCTACTCTAAAATGATTTGGGGGGATGAGGCATAGGTGAACAGACTTCCCAGAGCTGTATTAGAATTTGAACTACTAAACCTTTAAGAACTTATAAAATCTAACATATTGTATTATTAAACTCTACCACATAGTTGAGTACAATATTTATTTATCTTTGTTTTCAAAATTGGATAGAAAGCAATAATTTTTGTAATAATCTGAAACCAGTTTCATGAGGTGCTTTGCCAAGTTCGAAAGGGTTAGGGAAACAGTCCATACACACAGCCTCACTCCCTTCTCATCCTCTTCATCATGCCGACAGTCTTCCCAAGAATCATCACCAGCTCGGTCGTGCCTTTAGAGATGAGAGGCTATCTGTGTTTCCCCTGGAAACCTCTAGTCTGCAGACTTTATGACTCATTTATAAATATTCACTCCAGGCAACAGTTCCATGTATTATGATTCTGGGCCTCAGAATCTATACTGAACTTCACTAATGCTTTTAAAAAATCCCAGGGACGCTTACACTACAACAAAAGAACCAAAAGAAAAATCATGTGCAGTATGATCTGAACTAAAATAACGTGGAGTCTAGAAGCCATGTATACATAACTCTTTCTTAGCAATTCTATCTTTCAGAGTATAATTCAGTTGTAATAAAATGTATTGCATTGTATATAGTCTATTTAATTCAAATTACACATTTCTAATTTATTTGTTTCTATAAAGGCAATTAAATTTGAAATTATATTTTCAGCTAAAACTTTTGTACAGCACTCTATTATTAGCCATGCTCCTTTTATTGTTACAGAATTTGAGATGGAATTATATAAAAAGCCATGAGATTATATGACCAGTCTTTGAATGCAATAATATCCTTAATATGTCTAAACATATCTAAGAAGTCAATATCTTCCATCCAGATGGTGTCTAGCTCCTTGAGAGAAACCTTCAACATTCCAGATTGGTCTTCTAACTGAAAGAAAAGACATCACAAATTTAATGGTTTTATTAAAAAAGAGGCCAAAATATACTTCTTCCCCCAATCTGGAAAGACAGAATTGTAAAGATTGGGAAACAGAGTAAAATCGCACCAACCCATCAAAATGAAATATTTTCTTCTTAGAGTCATCCTTTTCATGTTTGTACTTAGGGATTCAGTTGTTTGAATTAAATGCTCGTCCTGTTACACTGCTGTGCCAGCTGTGTGTGCAAGTGCTGTTTAGCAAGAACCGAAGTTATATTGCCAGAATTTTCCTGGGGTTTTGGCTTTTTTAGTATGTGTGTGCTCCAGGTCTAACCTCCAATGCACTTCTCTTTTCTCCCCCACAGCTGTTTTGTGACAGTAAGACGGCGGTGCATGCCACAGATGGGCTGGACTGGGAGGACAAAGATGCCCCGGGGACCTTGGTGGGCAACGTAATTCACTCGAGGATCCTCAACCCGCTGCGCCTGTTTGTCAAACAGTCCCCGGTGCCCAAGCCAGGGCACCTGGCCTACGCGGACAGTTTGGACAGCTTCTGGGACTGGCTGGCCAACATCACGGAGGCCCAGGAGCCCTTGGCAAGAACTAAACGGAGGCCCATAGTCAAAACGGGAAAGTTCAAGAAAATGTTTGGCTGGGGTGACTTCCATTCCAACATTAAGACTGTGAAACTCAACCTGCTGATCACGGGGAAAATCGTGGACCACGGCAACGGAACGTTCAGTGTGTATTTCCGACACAACTCCACGGGCCTGGGCAACGTCTCGGTGAGTTTGGTGCCCCCCTCCAAAGTGGTGGAGTTCGAAGTGTCCCCGCAGTCCTCCTTGGAGACCAAGGAGTCCAAATCCTTCAACTGTCGCATCGAGTACGAGAAGACAGACCGGGCCAAGAAGACGGCTCTGTGCAACTTCGACCCATCCAAGATCTGCTACCAGGAGCAGACGCAGAGCCACGTGTCCTGGCTGTGCTCCAAGCCCTTCAAGGTCATTTGCATCTACATTGCCTTCTACAGTGTCGATTACAAACTCGTGCAGAAGGTCTGCCCTGACTACAACTACCACAGTGAGACTCCTTACCTATCTTCTGGCTGAGTCCTTCTCGCAGCCATAGAAAGCGGGGGACGGTCTCTATTTCATTGGAATGACCGAGAACCGAGCCAGCTCTTCGTGGTCAAGGATCCTGTTTATATGGCAGTGAACCTTAGTTCCCCAAGAGGTTTACAAATTAAAGGAAAAAAAATAAAGAAAGAAAGAAAATAAAAGGAAAGGAAATGAAAGGAAACATCTTTAAATGTAGTGTGCTTGTTTCCATCAAAAGTACCTTCATCAGAAGAGTCAAACTGTTTATGAAGCCATCGTTTTCACGTAGGATGGGGAAGTCTTCAGAATACTGTTTCCCTAAAAGAAGCATCAATGGTAGCAACACATAATGAGAAAGAACCGAATTATGCATGTGATAAACATTGCTCTTGGAATGAGCCTGCCTTGAACTGTTTTGGATGGTTACCTTAAAAACAGCAGATTCAGTGAAGTCACTGTAAAGGTTGTATTTGATAGGTGACTTGCACTTTTGATGTGAGATTTTTATTTATTTATTATTATTGCTGTCTTCCCCACTTATCCCACCCCTATCTGTTTGGTTACTGAGATGAGACATGAAGGGGTGAAAATTTGTTTCAACACTAGTGTGTGAAGTTACAGTGCCACAGTGCAACTAAATACACTGTTATCTGAGCTGGAGTAGGGTGACTGTGATGTAAACAGCCCTATGTTGGTCACTGCCCTTATAATTCTCATCTGAGTAGTAATATTGGTGTATTGGGAAAGCAAATCTGGATGTATTATAAGTCAATTCAACAATAATGAAGATCATGATGCTTTTAGACTCTTTTGCCAAATTCAGTGCTGTGAGAGATTGTTAAAAAATGTCATAAATCTGCATTCACCCTGTAACCTATAAACCCTTTCTATTCATCTGGTAGTATGGTTTTTCTATACATGTGTAGGACAACTCTGAAATTGGGAGAACATGAATGCTTCTTAGGCTGCCAAAGGAGAAAACTTGAAAGTGGAAGGAGGAGATTCCAGGATTATGGATTCTTTATTTCCAGCCTCCCAGGTTAAGTTCTCCTTGCATCGTTAATTATTTGAATGATCATGTTCCATGTGGAAATAAAGAGTCTGTTTAAACATTATCAATTATTATTAAGTACTAATAACCAAGATATCTGACTCATCAGGCTTTTGAAATTATTTAAAAATTAATATTTCTGCACAATCGGTGTGCCTCCTGTCGTCTCTGAGGAGTGGACAGTCAGCCTGGACAGAAGGACAGGATGACCTTGGAACTAGCACAGAATGAGGGGCTGGGTGACCAGTGAAAAGGTTTTGAGAACCCATAAGACTCACAGAATGGTTACCTTTTTTTACACATTAACTTTTAGATGCTTACTCCTCCTACCCCCTTCTTATCTGTAAAACATCAGTTAGAGTAAAGCACTAAATCAAAGACTGAAGGAAAGCCAGTCCCAACCAACAAAACTGCTCCCAGCACATCTTTAAAAAGTCAACAGCTCTGCTCTCTATTTTTGCATCTTCATCCCTTTCCTTTCCTTGCTCTCTGCACCATGTTTCAGTTTTGTCTTTTACAAAAATTGTACTAGGCTTAGTGTGTGGTAGTACAGACTTGAAATTTTTGCTCTGAGTTCATCAGGTGTTTTTGTAATTTTGTGGTTGGTGTGAAATATTTTGAGACATCTTTTATTTTCATCTAGAAACAAGATTAAAATACTATTTATTGTAAAATATGTGGGAATCATAGATGTATATATACTTAGAATTTTCTGTGTACAGAGAAAGTATATGTACACATTTCTATGTAAATAAAAAAAATTTGCTAAATCTGTCACATGACTTCAGAGTATTTTTTAAAAACTATTCTTGTTTCTTTTTTCACAAGTATTTATTGTATATGCACATACATATGTGTGTTTGCATGTGTGCATGTGTGTGTGCGATATCAACTGAGCATTAAGATTCTCCATATGTACTTATTAAACAGAGCAGCTCAACTATGGAGATTATAAAGCAGAATAAAAGGATTATTGCTATAAAGCTTGGCACATAGCCTGGCATCTAGTAAGAACTCCTTAAGTGTGAGTTGCCATTATGATCATATTATTATAACATGAAATGAGATTTAAAGCTATCCTATGTTCAAAAGTTGAGTGACATAAACGTTATATCCACACAAAGAAAAAAACAACACTAAATCAGTTTAGATTTCAGTAGGATTTAAAAAAAGAGAAAGAAAGAAAGCTGCCCTAGGCATATTTTTAAATTGGAGTAGAACATATGCCACATGTATTTTTAAGTCATAATTTTATTTCAAAGCCTACATAATTGTCAGTAATGGCGCTTAGCACAATATAAATCAGATTCCATTTCAACATGCAAATGCACACATTTCTACAAAGCCATTTTCGCCTTTGCACACACTGCAGTGGAAGAAACAGATATTCAAGGGTATTAATGTAAGACAATTTTACACCTAACCACAAATTGTTTAAATTAAAAGGAAAAGACTCTTTAAAAATAAAAGTTAAACTAATAGATTATACCCTTGAATGTAATGTCATACATCAATATACCTCAATAAAATTTTTTTTTCAAAACGTAGAAAAACAACACTAGCAGAAATTTAATCCTTAGGGTGATGCCAATAGTCTTCCCAGGGGCTCTCCCGACCTGCTTTACTGGGAAGCAAACTAGTTTGAAGACCTTTTCACCCCTCAGCAGAAACAGCCTTTGTACTCATTCCCACACAGGAGGAGGAAAAAGACCGTATTTCCATGACAGAGTCCAATGTGGTCACAACGGCCACACACACTGTCAAATCTGTAGACAGGAAATCAGAACAATCCTGTGCATAGCAGGCCGGAGGCAGTCAGTAAAGAAGAAGCACTTCCTTACGTCGTGGTAGGTGGAATTTCAGCACATTCTCATGATCTAAAGCACATGTGTCAAACACAAGGCCCGCGGGCCAAATCCGTCCCGCCAGGCCTTGCAATGTGGCCCGCACCGTGCTGTCATCACTGCACTCCGCTGCGTTTCCATCACAATGACAGTTTATGACTGTTCAGTAAACCATTCGGCCCGCGATTTAGGCTGGATTTTAGATTTTGGCCCCTTCTCTGATTGAGTTCGACACCCCTAATCTAAAGTAACAGCAATGAGTGTGGTTCTCTGGTATGGCCACTCCTAAGAGCACTTGGTACACATTGCATTATACTCTTTAATCTTTATTGTAAAAACACTTTTCTTCTTTACTTTATATGACCCAGATGCTGCATGCTACCTTGAGGCATGCTTGCTACATTTTAAACATTTCACATTGAGCTAGATCTGTCTGCATTTAAAATAAGGTTCTGCTGTGTTGGGCCTGCCATTATGGCTTTTCAAAGTGTGGTGGGCAGATCAGCAGTATGACCTGTAAGCTTGTTACAAATGTAGAATCTCAGGTCCCAGCCCAGACGCTGAATTGGAGTTTTCATTTTAACAAAATTCTCGTGAGACTTGCATAAGCATTAAAAACTGAGAAGAACTTCCCTAGAAAGTCTGATTTAGGGAAAGTGCTATTGGAATTAAGAATCTTCATAGTAAATAAGCACCCTAGGGTATGTGATTCAAATGAACTTCTGACGATACTTTGTTTTAAAAAGTTAAAGGAATGGACACTTTTAAAAATCAAAAATTAACCCTGGCCAGTAGCCAAATGGTAGAGCCAAAGAATTGTGGGTTCAATTCCCAGTCAAGGCAAGTACATGGGTTGCAGGTTAGATCTCTGGCCCTCCTGTCAAGATAGGTTCAGGAAGCAACTAATTGATGTGTCTCTCACATCAATATTTTTCTCTCCCTTTCCTCCATCTTTTCCACTTTCTCTAAAAATCAATGGAATAAAATATCCTCAGGTGAGGATTAACAAAAGTTTTGAAAAATTAAAAATAGAAACAAAAAATTAAACTAAAAATTGTAAACCAAATGAAAAAAGTGATCACACATGGAAGAGTAAGATTGCAAGGGTGCTGGTCTGTACTGTCTCTTAGTTCAACCCTCTCCTTTGACAGGCAAGTGAAACGGAGGCCCCATCGGAGTAATGGACATGCCCAGAAATAAGTGACAAACCCAACTGAAATGCAGGTGCCTTGACTCCTGGTCCTAGGTCTGATATTACCCAAGAAAGCTAAGCTAAAGCAGATATTCAAGACAAAACAAAAATAGTTGCAGTGAGCTTGTATCAAGTCATGATCCAGAGGCCAAAACTAAACATAAAAATGTTCTCTCTCTAAAACCTTCAGGATTATAACTTCTTTAAAAACACAAAATTTTGAAAATCTGAAACTAAAGAAAAATAAAATCAGGAGAGAGCTATTATATAGAAAGATAGGAATCCTGAGTATTATAGGTATATCTCACTAAGAATTAATAGTAGCTACATTGACTACTACATTTGGAAGAATTTTTAAGTGATTATAACACCTGGTAATGTATTTTCATAGAAATAAGTAAATTTTGTGGAATGTCTTAATTCCCTAAAGGTCTGATTCTACCGTATAAGGAATCTTAAATTAATTAATCAGTCTATAAAATAGAGATGGAGTTGTGCACTTTTACTTACAGTAAAACTATAGTTAACCACAAGATAATTAATCAGAACTTTCAAAGAATGGAAATTTAATATTTTCAATTGTAGGAGACAAATCACAGGGAAACAAGCTCATGTTAGAGACTTGTTTCTTCATCAAAATACTGTAGATGACATTGGAGGGTCATTTCATATTCACCTCTATCTCCTAAGTCATGCTGTGAAGTTTGGAACCCTGGGAACATATCCCATCCTTCATTTTCAATCTTCTCTTTTCTTTATCCAATTCAGCTCCCATAAGTAGTATGTAATCTATTTTACAAAAAATAATTGCATTAACTTTATGTTCTCCATAGCACCTGGCAAAGTGTGTGCTATGTTAGTATCTGTCTCTTGATATTTTAAAAATTCCCAGTGCAATGCAATGACTATTCAAGACCCCACTCTACCCATGTGACGTAAGCGCTATCTTGCACCATTTTTGACATAAATGCAATGGTCCAGTTGAACACAATGCCCATTGAATGCTAGCTCCCAGAAGCACAGAAACTTGAAAGCTGGAGACAATTTTAGAAAACATCTAGAATAAGTTTTGTTTATCATATAAAAGAGACCTGATGAGATTTAACAGCCTGGTG